ATCCCAGGGTCCCAGAGAACTTTTAAGTAGTATTCATCCTTATCTCTCTCTCTTTCTCTTTCTCTTTGTTTCTCTGTCTTTCTGTCTCTCTGTCTCTGTCTGTCTGTCTGTCTCTCTCTCTCTCTCTCTCTCTCTCTCTCTCACACACACACACACACACACACACACACACAGGTTCCTACCCCAGGTTCACATGTTTTGAGCCTTGCTCCCCAGCTGGTGGTGCAATTTTCAAGGCTGTAGAAGCTATAGCAACTGGGCCTAGCAGAAGAAAGTAGATGACTTAGGTAGGTCCCTGGGAGTATATTATCCTTCTTGTCACCCACTCTGCTTCACAGCCATGGACTAACAAGCAGCTTCTGTTATAATGCCTTCCCAACACAATGGACTGAAATTAGGGCATAAATAAACCTTTTTTCTCTGTCAGGTATTTTTTGACAGCAACAAAAAAAGTAACTAGTAAAATGCTTAGGTAATAAAAAAATAGATTGCAAATCTATTTAACTCTATGGCTAGGGCCTAGCTCAGTGGTATTGTGAATGCCAAGCATGTATAAAGTCCTGAATTATATCCCCAGAACTGACATGTTTTTAATCTAACCATAATACCACTAATGGCCATAATTTCACAAAGATTGATAACTTTTTAGATAAGTATACTTTGAAGTACAATTCTTTGATAAAAAGTGATCAGATAACCTCAATCAGCTTAAATACAGCCTATATTTTCTGCTGACAAGCTTTAAGAACAACATTTGCTTTGATTTTTCTAAATACAGTAAAAATTAAATTGTATTGAATCAGTAAAACTTTTATACTTTTTGATAAATTGGTTGTTTCAAAATACTTTATATCCTCTTTTTCTACAACATCTGATAAATACTTATCCTAGGCACAAATGTCCATATATTTTTTATTTTTATTAAGTTTTTAGACAGGGCCTCTCTATGTAAACCTGGCTGGCCTGGAACTCAGAGGCCCACCTGCCTGTGCCCCCCACCCCAGGGTCTGACTCTGTTAAGCTCACTGTCACTCCTTTCCCCACTCCAGCACTCTGCTTCTGAGTGTGGGGTCCTAACTTTCAGTAGACTGAAACAGGCGTTAGTGAACAAATGTATCTTTTCATAACAATGTTAACCCTTTAAATAAGTAAACTATTTCAACTGAGAATGAGTCTTTCTCATTACGTGGCTCAGACTGGCCTGGAACTCATAGCTCTCCTGGCCCAGGGTCCTGAGTGGTGAGAGTAGAGGCCCACACCACCTGCCATGCCAGTCAAGGCTGGAGCTGAAGTTGTGGCTTCTTTCCACTTTAGCCCAGTTCTTCCTCTTTTTCAGGATTACTTCAAAATGATGCCAAATAAAATCCTTGGCCTAGAATTTTGTTCATACATCACAAACTAAGCCAGTAAACCTTTATTTTATTTAAAATAAATTAGCAATTCTTTCTAATTCTTTGTTTAACCCTAAGAAAAGTGATACAGTTCATTTTAAATGTAAAACTAAGTATACTTGGTTTCATGTCTGTGCATCAAAGGAAAATAACAAACTTAATGAGGAATGTAAAAAAATAAAATAAAAAAACAAGGAGAACCCATTAGTCTAAAGATACAAGGAGCAGCCAAAGATGACAAACATGACTGAAATTCAAAACATGCTGGGAGAGGGAGTAGGCACCGAACACATAAGTCGGTGTTTTGAATTCTCTTTCTCTGTGGGTATAATTGTACCTTATTTTCTTATAATGATTTATTGAGGTAAATATTCTGTATGGTTTAACAGCTACAACTTCAAAGTGTCAGGCACAAGCTCTCCTTTATTCATGAGGCAGCTGAGTATTGGGATGTGAATTCACTTCTGTATTCTGGGACTTGGCAAAGTTTGTTTTAAGGTACTCATAAAGAATTCATGTTGATGTAGTCTATTCAAATGTGAAAAACACTGTGCTGTAATGAGTGAAATAGAAGACCTTTACAGTAATTCTGTAGAAAAAAGTAAATAAATTGAAGTAAGACATACAGAATTACTATCAGCAAAGTACAGAATGCCCCTGAGTTCATCTCAAAATACTTTTTCAGATTTAGGAGATGCCTACAAACCCATAACTGGGTAGCAGTTAAGCTGGGAATTGAATTTAAAATCAAGACAAAAAGAAAATGACCAGAATTAGAATAAACCTCAGTAATAGTCACCTGAAAGTCTTCTGGACTGATTTTCAATATGCACAGACTGCCACTCTGGGACCAAAGTCTATCCAAAGGCAACTAGTAAAAACAACCACATGCCAGATAGAAACTTCATAGTTTTGAAAGGGGAAATAAGTAATTTACCAGATATGTCTGCTTTAAGAGTACCATGCCAGCAGAAGTTAGACACAGGCACCCAAGGTGCAGAGAGACTTTAGTAACTCATCTCTCCATAAGTTTGCCAGAAAATAGATACACCTTAAATGTATAATCTCTGCACAAAGTAGACACTCAACCTATATGCACAGTAGCTCCCTGGTGCATCAATACTCCTACCCATGGCCATAGTAGCATTGTGATCCTAGGACCTTAGTTTGACTACTATCACCCATATCCAGCAATTTACAAATGCATTTAACGCCAGCTCCAGGGGATATGTTACCTTCTTCTGGTCTCAGAGATCACTACACTCACATATACATACTCACACAGAGATGTACACATACACAGTTAAAAACTACAAGTAAAATTTTTTTTGTTTGTTTTTTGTTTTTTTTTGAAAGTAATTTTATTAAATTATAAAAAGTTTCCATTTACGCCCCTCCTCCCAACGCCCTCCCACTCCCCCCCTCCCTCTCCTCCTCCCTCTTTTTGGGATCCAGTCTGTTTGGATACAAGTAAAATTTTTAAAAATGGTTGGGGACTAGCCTCGACAAAAATACCTCTCGCTAGGACAGGGGCATGAGGATTAGAAATATAGTAAAGAATATGAAGATGAGAATGAAAATAATAAAATGAAGAAATATATAGGATAGTATTGGGAGGGAATTCCCATGAGTACTAAAAGTTTGCCCTCATTTAATTTCCAACTACTTAAAATACCCTTGACCTCAAAAGATAGACACTTGGTACAAATGATGTATTTTTCTACTATAAAAATTCTTTGAATACTGTGTGTGTGTGTGTGTGTGTGTGTATATACCTATTATTTTGGAAGCTAACTTTAAAATTAACTTTAAAAGAATTTTAAAATATAGTATTTAGTTCTGGCGTTTTTGTGTATTTTTTGTTGTGGTACTTACTAGGGACTCAATGTAGGATCCCGAGCATGCAAGGCAAATGTTCCATTAAGCTATACCCTCAACCCCAGCATTTTCTATCTTATAGCTTTTGACAAAACAGAATTTGCAGAAACAATTTAATATCTTTGACTGGTCGCTATGCACACTCAACTGATTCAGTTTCAAAGAGCACCACAAAGCTAGAACAGGAAGGAATTAGTATCAATCAGGTATTCTACATTTGTCAGACAGTTCCGGTGGACAGCTCATCAATCCTCACAAGCATGTGTAGGAAGCAGTTATCCCTTCTTCTAAAGATGAGAAAGCCAGGACACAGCAACTTAAAATGAAGTGTTGCCCGCTACACAACTAGTAAGCAGCAGAGCGTTAGAATTCAAACCAAATGCTGCCAAATCCAACGTCTGCATCTCTGCTATCTAGCGACTTATTAGCACTCAACATCACCACAATCACTTGCTTCTTGCTGCTGACCTCTCTTGGGCTCCAAAGACTATACTCTCTTGGCTTATTCCATCCTCACCTATAGCCAGTGCCTCTCAAGGGCACTGATTCTGTGTCTTCTCACTGACTTAAGTCCTAATGCTCCTGTCAGGCAGGCCAGGGCCCTCTGAGAAAGCTCTCCTTTCCTGTGTAACTTCATCTACTCTCTTGGCTTTAGTACACTCTTATTTAAAATACTCATTCCCTCACCCCTAAAAATAGCAACATTTTGGAAACAATACAAAAATAAATATCCTATAAGATAAAGTGCTGTTATCTGATTGAAGTCCTTATTTGCTGATTATCTATTCCATGTGTTAACTAATATGAACTTCAAGTTTGACTAATATCTTCTCTGTCTATGGTTCAAACCAGAAACTCAAGAGCCATCCCATTGCTTCATTTCCACTATCCCCAATATTCTTAACATAAACTTCCTGAGGAAAACATACTTCATCCCTATGTTTTCTTGATAGGCAGTTTAGCTCTCTAGAACGGAAACAAAATGTAAAATATGTACAATTCTGAAAATAAACAATAAACTAGCTGGTGTGGCAATTGATGCTTGTCATTTCAGTACTCAAGAGGCTGAAGCACAGGATTGCCCAGAGTTTGAGACCAGGCTATGCTACAGAGAGGACAGTGGGGAGAGGGGAGGAAAAGGGAAGGAAGGGAGGGAAAAGAGAGGGAGGGATGGGAGAAGGGAAGGGGTGAAGGAGAGAGGGAGGATGAATAGGAGTTGAAGAGTTGCTCTTGCAGACGACTCAGATTTTATTCTCAGCACCAACATGACAGCACACAACTATCTGTAACTAAAGTTTCAGGAGACCCACCTCTCCTGATCTCAGTCAGTAGATAGCACACATACATGTAATGCTTAATACATATAAGCAAGTGAAACAGTCACACACATAAAATTTTTTTTTGGTTTTTCAAGAATAAAGTAAAATTTTAAAAAGCAATAAAATATAAGTTCTTGTATTTTTAGCATTGCAATACTATTTATTTCTAAAAATGCTAACTATTTCATCTATACTATAGTTCTAAGAAGTTTATGTAGGTTTTCTAAGTGAATAAGGAAGTTAATTGTATATAGTTGCTCTAGAAAAAAAAATATTGCTCCCATGAACCTTTTTATTTGACTGATTTCCCAATTACTCCATGGTTACTAAATTTCCAAGTTCCCTTTGTCAACTTCATTGCTTTTCCCCATAAAGGACTATGGTTTTCCATATGCCTTCAGGGTTTACCTACCAGCAGTTCTGCATGTTGTATCCCTTCATTTTCTTTGGGTATGTTTTCCCACCAGACACAGATCTTGCTATTGTTCATTCCAATACACAGATTGCTTTGAAATATTCTGGGCTTCTATCGTCTTCAAAGCTCTAAGCTGAAAGTTGTCATTCAGAATCTGTCATGGCAGCCTGTTAAAAAAGTTTCAAAACATTAAGCTTAGTAGTAGAGTTCAGAGCACTTTCCTGCTTGTTCTAGAAACTCAAAATTCTTGTAAAGCTGACTAATAGTCCATTGTTAGAGTTCCCTTTGATGGAAAGCTGCTAAAGGTATGCTTAGCTGTAAGTCACTGCTACCTTGTACAGCTTGGAGCATTACCCAGTCTATCATGGGAAGCCCAAATGTCTGCTCTCTAATATGGTAACCAACAGCTGCCTGTAACTCCTGGGTACTGGAAATGTGCCTGCCTCTGACTGAGATGTGCTGTAGTATTAAAATATACACAAGATTGCTGAAGAAAAGAGGATATTTCACTACCTGTATTTATTATGATTACATGTGATTATGATTACTATATTACACTTCTACTATTTTATAAATATTGGGTCTTCTAAAACACATTAACATTAATTTTACCTGATTCTTTTTATTTTACTTTTTTAAAAGATTTGTTTTTATGTATATGAATGTGTATGTACTTCCCTTTTCTCTCTCGCTTGCTCTGTATTTGTGTGTGTGTGTGTGTGTGAGTGAGCATGTGTGTGTGTGTGTGCGCGCTCGCGTGCGTGCATGCATACATACGTATGTGCAGTGCCAAAGGAGATCAGAAGATGGCATCAGATCCCTGGCAGTGAAGTTACAGGTGACTGTGAGCTGCCCGACCTGGGTATTAGAAATTAAGCCCAAGTCCTCTGCAAGGATACTATGCACTCTTAACTACTGAGCCATCTCTCCAGCCTCATCTTTTTATTTTTCATGGTGTATCTACTGAAAAATTTGAATTACATATGACTCATATTTGTGACATTATACAACTTTTTCCATAACATATGAGTTTTTAAAAATTAGCTTGTGATGCTTTCTTTTCCCTGAAGAAACAGCTCATCATTAATATGTTGTTGTGGATTGTCTAAATGAAGCAAGTTCCTTGGTGAAACTTAGTCATTCAGAAAATTAGGAAGTGAAAGAGTGAAACAATTAGACAATAAACATTAATTATCTCTCTGCTCAAAGTAGAAAACACTATATATTCAAGAAAGATCCAACAGTTTAAGGAATAAACGATTATTCTGAGCCAAGCAGGGGTGGTGCTTGCCTTTAATTCCAGCACTCAGGAGGCAGAGGCAAGTTGATCTCTGTGGGTTTGAAGTCATCCTGATCTATAAAAGTGAGTTCCAGGGCTATTACACAGTGAAACCCTGTTTCAGAAAACAAAAATTATTCTGTCAAAAAAGTAAATAATATAAAAATAATAGTTTATGATTTTGAAGTCTTACTTTTTTCTAATAAGTCAGTTCTCTGGGAAAACAAAAATTAGCAAAAAATCAGTTCCTTTACTATTTATCAAATTACATTTGTAAGGAATTCCAAATATCTAGTTAGCAAAAAGGAACACTACAACATTTTCGAAAGTGGGATGCTAGAGAGATGACTCAGCAGTTAAGAGTATATACTGATCTTGCAGAGAACCCAAGTTCAATTTTCAGGCACCCTGATAAAGTAGCTCACAACCACCTGTAATTCCAGCTTCAGGGGATCTACTGACTGACAACAGCATACCCACACATACACAAAAGTACACATAATTAAAATATATTTTTAATATTAAAAATGGGCATTATGAAGCTCATGTATTTATATATTCATTTCTTCTTCAAATATTTTATATCAGAAGCCATTTTACTGTAACAGACATAAAGAATCTGATTCAGTTATACTAGCTAAGAAAAAGAGAGTATAAAGTGATTCCAATGCTTTGGAAAATCTATTAGGATTATTTTCAATTCCTAAACATAATCCCAGTGCATATATGTAAAATAAAAAAGTCTTTGTAGACAGATAGTTCATAATAGTGAAAAAACTGTAAACAGCCCATTATACACTGTATGGTTCCACTGGAATCATACAGCAGACTATGACTCAGAAACAGGATGAAGCAGATGCTATCATATATGAACAGTGATGGTCCTCATAAAAATCAGTCTTAAAGAAGACAGTGTGTAAAAAATAATACATGCTATACTAGTTAAGTGAAGCTCAAACAGTGAGAAAATTAATTTATGATCTTCACAGAAGGTAGCAACTGGTAGAGAAGGCTTCAGGACACTGAAAATACTTTATTCCTTGAGCAACAGCAAGATGGACATGTTCTCTTGGTGGCAAAGGAGCATCTGAGACTTATGCATATCTTTATATGCTACAATAAGAAAAAACTTATTCACAAGATACAAATCCATGATTATACTAAAGTGTGTGTGTGTGTGTGTGTGTGTGTGTGTGTGTGTGTGTGTGTGTGTTGTACCTTTAAGTGCAGATGCCTGAGGAGACCAGAGAGGGCATTGAATCTCCTTGAACCAGAATTACAGGCAGTTAACAATCATAGACATGAACCAAAGAATTGAACTCAGGTCCTCTGGAAGAGCAAGCAAGTGCTCCTAATCATTGAGCCATCTCTTCAGTCCTTGGTTTCTGTTATGTTTTTGTCCTTTTATTTTTCCTCCTTTGGTTATTTACGACATGGTTTCTCAGTGTGGTCTGAGCTGTCCTGGAACTCACTCTGTAGACCAGAGATCTACTTGTCTTTGGCTCTGGAGTGCTGGGATTAAAGGATTACAACACCATCCCCGGCTTGTTTTTCTCTTTATTTTGCTTGTTTTGTTTTTCATTTTCTCTTTATTTTGCTTGTTTTGTTTTTCATGTAGTGGATACTGAACCCAGGACTTTGAACATTCTGAGCAAGGACCTACCACTGAACTTTATTTCTGCCTCAGTGACCAGTTCTTCTATCAGTGTTAAAAAAAAGTAATGAGTAGTGTTTCAGCGGTGGAGAGAACTGAGTGCTCTTCCAGAGGACCCAGGTTCAGTTCTCAGCGCCTACATGGTGTTTCACACTTTCTCATTCACTAATGTGGTACATGGGAATGTATGCAGGCAAAACATCAATACACATAAAATAAATAATTTTTTTAAAAAGAATGAATAAATCATAAAACGAGGGAGGAAAGTCATAGTCTTTTTGTAAAGAACTTTACAAGAACAAATATTTCAGGCCCTTTGATCAGTTTCTAAAAACTTGTTCATAAAGACAGGTGCAGAGCATTGTTCTTTACTAAACACGGCATCAGTGAAAAGTGTCAATATATAGCATTGTTTTTTGCAGCTTGTTTAAAAACAAACTTAGGAGCAGCAGAACCAAGAGGTGCCGGTTCCTGCTAGAAATGCTCCTTTGGAACCACTAGCAACTGACAGCATTCTGCCAAAGACACAATCATTTCTTTTTCCCTCGCTTTCAAATACAGCAACTCTCTTCTTTTGTTCTTTTCCCCCATTTATTATAGTTCAGAAACTGAAAATAGGCCATGAGCAACATCCTTTATGTCTGTTTTTTTTTTTTTTTAAATTTCCTTCCCCACACCTTCCAAGTATTTTGTTTGGGGTTGGAGAGGGGGATGAAACAGAGTTCTAAGAAAGCTTTTATAACAGGTTCAAAAGTATAAAAGACATTTAAGCTCCAGACATTTGTAGCCTTTATTTCCTTAGTCCCTGAAAGGGCTTTTTAAATGTTAACAGCCTGGATAGGGTTGCTCTCCTACACTGACATTCCCGGCTTTATTTCCTTTGTAGTCTTGAGTTCTTCCCTACCCTCAACCCCCCAATAACCTCTATGCCAGCCTTTAAAACAAAACCGAACAACAATTTAAAAGCAACAACAACAATAATGAAAAAGAATTCCATTCACCATTATAAACATGCAGAGGTAATTTTTAAGAGCCCATATGTGTGTTTCCTATAAATCATAAAATGAAGATATTCTAATTCTATACTTGGGGATTTAGTATGTCACTTTAACATACTTCATTTAGAACTGGAAAGTTATTTCAGTTAAATGCTATTGGTCTTTTCTCAGAAGTGCTGAAATACAATTATCAGCATCAAAAACATACTTATCTCTATACTCTTAAGCTTCATATAGGATGCCAATGAATATGTGATATGTCAGCCTAGCTTACAAGAGAATTACTTATGAATAAAATATCAAGTCTGAAAGACTGAGATTATAAGTGCATTTATTGACTTATTACTTTGAGACACAGCCTTGTTAGAGAGACCAGACTAGCCTCCAACTCATTATCCTCCTGTCTCAGCCTCCTGAGTGCTTGGGTTAAAGGCAAATACCATACCTGGATCATAATAAAAAATATTATTTTAAAAATATTTTAACTTATTTTCAAAGCATGTTTACTATTTGTGACAAGGGAAAATAAGACTTGTTTTAAAGTACTTGCTCACCCACACACACATGAACACACAGTACCGTACTGTTTTATTATTTTTAGGACATCATGAGATGTCTTGAGGTCTTGAGGGTTAGGAAAATTTTTCATAACGAGGGCAATAGAATATCTATGATAGAAGAGCAGAGGGGAGGGGCTGGAGAGCTGGATCAGCAATTAAGAGCACATACTGCTTTGCAGAGGACCCAAGTTTGGTTCCCAGCACCCAGAGGCATCAACCACCTCTGGCCTCAGGAGTAACATTCACTCATACACAAATCCACACAAATAGACACACCCAGAAATGCATAATGAAAAAGTAAAATAAATGTTTAAGACTTGTTTTAAAAGCAGAAAAAAAATCTCCTAGGGAGAGGAAAGGGACCAGGTGGAGTGGTAGAGGAACAAGGATGGTAGCGTGGGAAGGATCAACAAAAACAGTGTGTACAAAAGTGCCACAATGAAATTCGTTATTATATGTGCTGATTTTGATTTCCTTGTTCTTGTTTTTGTTCTGTTTGGTTTTTTAAAACAGGGTCTCACTACATAGCTCAGGTAGTTCAGGCTGTCCTGGAACTCACTATGTAGACCAGGCTGACCTCAAACTCAGAGATCCACCTGTCTCTGCCTTTCAGGTGCTGGGATTAAAGGTATGTGCCACTATGTCCAGCGTGTGTGTTGATTTAAAAAAAAAAACTAAAAAGAAATTAAACAAATCTGTGACCCCCTGCCTCGCTAACTTTATAGGATTAAGAAGAAGATGAGGCTGGAGAGATGGCTCAGCTGCTAAGAGTCCATGTTGCTCTTGCAGAGGACCCAAGTTCAATCCCTAGTACCTGCATCAGACAGCTCAGAATCAACTGTAACTCCAGCTCTAAAGGATCCTCACACCTTTGGCCTCTTCCAGTAACTGCATTCACATGCACATACCCCCATATACACATGCATAGATCATTAAAAATAATAATAATAATTTCTTTTTAAAATTTAGAGGCACAATGTCCATCAGTAACTGAAAGAGAAATAGTGGGGGATGGTGGAATAGCTAGAATAGTTTTCTGAGAGTTTCATTTTAAAATTGCACTTGAATCAGGCATGGTGGTAGACTCCTGTAATCCCACACTTTATAAACCTGAGACAAGAGGATTAAGAGTTTGAGGCCAACTTGAGCTCTAGCCCATGTCTCAGAACATATAAATTATAAATTTTAAAAATCGAACTTGACTTTAAAAAAAGGCTACAATACCTGAGCCTGGGGGGGCGGATCTAACAGAGTGTATAAACATTTCCCAAAAGAAGACACACAGCCAAGAGATAGATGAGAAAATTCTCATCACTGTTAACCATTAGAGAACAAACAAAATCACAGTGTGATTGTCTCAATCCAGAAAGAACTAGTATCGATAAAAATATTGTGAGTGAGGATGCCGAGAAAAGATGAAGTTCACACACTACTAATGGATGGATGTTTGGACAGCCATTATAGATAACAGCATGGAGGTTTCTCAGAAAATTAAAAATAGAACTATCATATGGTGCACAGCAATCATCCAACTGGTATGGATACAAAGGAGATGAAGGCAGTATGTTGAAGAGACATCTGTGCTCCCATTTTTACCACAGCATTATTTATATAATAGCCAAGAGATGGAAGCAAGCTAAGCATCAATCAATAGATGAATAGATGACACAGTATATATACACAACAGCACCATTCAGCCTTACAAAGGAATGGGATCCTGTCATGTGTGCCATTATGCATGGAACTGGAGAGCACTGAGTGAAATCAACGAGAAACAGAAAGACAAGTCCTGACTGATTTATTCATGCATAGATTATTTAAAAGTTGACCTCATGGAAGATGAGTGTGTTTGACAGAGAAAGAACTGAGAAAAGAGAAGAATGGAGGCAGGCTGGTGAATGGATACTAAGCTCAAGTTACATAAGTATAAGAAGTTCTGGTGTATTGTAGGGTGGCTAGTGATGATGACAATGTAGCTAATGTGCTGTGTATCTTTAAGAACTAAAAGCCAGGTGAGGCTACACACATTTGTAATGTTAGCACTTGGGAGGCTAAGATAGCAAACTTGTGAGTTCAAGAACACACTGGGTTACATAGAATTTCAGGCCCACATGGGCTAGTTAAGATCTTGTTTCCAAACATCAGCAAAAGATAAAAAAGATAGGAGGAAAGATTATGAATGCTTTCATTATTTAAAATGTATCTGAATAGCTAGACATTTCTAAACAATAAAAGTGAGCACTTGTTTAGAATAAAATAACCCTTAGAGGTTCAGTCCCTAGATATTCAGCACTCCCAAGACTGTAATTCAGTAATCATTTTTGCTCATTTCTGTTTTTGGCAAATAGTCCTGATATATTTGATAAGTTGATAAACTGAAACTTAAACTGTTACAATGAAAGTCTAAATTCCTTGAATGCAGAAAATATGTCCCTTAAGTACCCACTGAAAGTGTTTGGTAAAATTTCCATAATGTGTAAACACTCAAGATTATCAGATGCTATCTGAATAGTACAAACTTAAGACATTCACTAGCCACCACTCGGTGCTATTGTGCTTGAAAACACAAACAAAAAATGAAACTGAAATGGTCTCGGTACTAAAGCGTTTCATAGTGCCCGCCATTGGTGCCCGAGTCTCTTCTCGTTAACAAGGAAGAATACTGCTGAGTCTGCGCCAAGCGTTTCTACTACTATACAAGTCATCTTTCCACCTAGTTTTCTGGACATGAACTGAGTCAAGTTTGTTTTAATAATACAGTCTTTCTGTCATTATGAGGTTTGTTCGTGACGATGTTTTATAAGTTGAAGACGTGATCATCCAGACGTGCCATAAATCTGACGGATAAAAGACATGTTGTCAACTCATTAAATTTTTCTGGGCTTCTATCTACTAGTAAAGTTAAAAAATTTTAGTAGCTACTAACCTTACTAATAATCTTTTTTAATCCTAGAGTTACTTAGCTGTCTTTAAGTATCAATTGAGCCATCTTATTTTGTCAGTAACATGGCTAAGTGTTCTAAACTGTGTCTATTTCAATTTGTCAAATCTATTTGCAGTAAATTATAATCATCTACTTTGTAACTTAAATTCCATTATAATTGCATGTATAAAAACTAAGTGAGTTTATGAAGTTATTAAGTAAAATATTTTAACTCTAGTGACTAAGAAACCACTTCTAAAAATGTTTTTCCTCCTCATAGGTTTATTCCTTTACTGCAGTTTATTTTAACATAGAAATAACAGGCTAATCTGTGTTTTGCGTTTATGCTTATTATATATAGCTTCAAATATATTTATATATAATTTACTTAAAAGCTATTATGCTTCAAAAATAAAGGAACAGAATCTGGATCTATGACTGCAAAACTTAAGAAACTGTCTTTCAGTGTGCATAGCTCTAAGTTTTGGTTTTGGTTGGGGGGAGGGTTGTTGTTTTGTTTATTTAGGTTTTTTGAGAGGAGGTCAAACCCAGACAGACCTGTCCAACAAACTGTGTTGGAGGATGATCTTGAACTTCTCATCTTCCTTTACCACCTCCCCTGTACTATGTTCACAGGCATGGCATGCCTCACTTGGGGCAAGATTCTATCAATGTTTCAGCAATACTTGTCCACAAGCGGTTAAACTAGAAGAACTATTGAGTACCGAAGCTGACAGTGAAGTTTGTTTCACACACCACTCAGTACGGAGGTTTATACTAGACATTTGTTTTACTTCAAAACTCATCGTTTTGCCAGGCAGTGGTGGCGCATGCGTTCAACCCCAGCACTCAGGAGGCAGATGCAGGCGGATCTCTGTGTGTAGGCCAGCATGGTCTATGGAGCAAGTTTCAGGACAGGCTCCAAAGCTACATAGAGAAACCCTGTCTGGAAAATCCAAACCAAACCAAACCAAAAAACCAAAATGTTGTTTGTTTTTGTAAATCAGGGTCAGAAAACACGCAGAAGTTCATTTTTAAAATCTGAACACTTGAACTACAAGGTTTTAGCTTAATCATTGCTGGGGCTGGGAAGAGAGAAGGGAAATGGGGAGCAGGAAATGAAGCCTGGCTTGCAAATGGGAAGAACAGTGAAGCATCTTTCCTAAGGGTTGGTGTCTTGGAACTAGACTGAGGTGACAGTTGAAGAAAGTGTGAATGTTCCTAAATGTCACTGTATTGTAACTTTAAAAGGGTTTGTTTTATGTGCAATTCACCACCGCCACCACTCCCCGCAAAGGGGGAAAAGATATAGGATTGTCTGGCAGAGGCAGATTTCAGTCGGTGAAGTCTCAAATAATACTCGATACAGGAAGAACGGATCACACTAAGCCCCACGGAAAGCGGTCCACAACTCCCTCCGGTGGACCTGTTTCAAAAACAGCCAATTAACCAGCCATCAGCATTATACTGAACTCATTTCAGTGAATACTAGAAAATTGCGAGAAATTAATCAGAATCGTCTAGACATCCCGAGCGAGCAATAGAGACCACGGCTCAGGGTGGGGGAAAGAAGCCATTTTTTAAAAGGTTTTTGTCTTGGACCGAGGAACTCGTATTCAATACGTCTCAAGCATTACATTTAAAGCTATGTGTTTAACTGTGATGGGTGTGTTTGCCAACAGGGCAGAATCTCACAGAAAATGAGCGAAAACCCACTCTTGGCCTCTCTGTGGCAACGAAGTTCTTCACCAAAGATCACCATCATACCAATCCGCGGGAAAGCTCCCTCTACACGCCGCCGAAGAAAGCGTCGCCTCCGAGGGCACTCCCGCCACGCCGCGCGAGGGGTATCGCTAGGCCTCCTGGGAATTGTAGTTTAAGCCACTGAAGACGGCTTAGTCAGGCCAGTAAAAAGCGAGTCCGAAAAACTACAACTCCCGGAGTGCTCCGGGGCAGCGAGCGGCCGCAGCAGTGACGACTGTGGCAGAGAAGGCCCGGAGGGGCTCTGCGTTCTGGAGTGGCGCTGCTTGGGCCGGTGGCTGATTGAGGGCAACTGGTGTCGTAATTGAGGAGAGAGCTGCGAGTGTGTTCGGCATATCCCGGTCGGGATCCCAGCCACGATGAGTGCTGCCCGGGAGTCTCACCCACACGGGGTGAAGCGTTCAGCCTCCCCCGACGACGATGTAAATAACAATGGATGAGGGTTGAGGCCTACTAAAGGCTGGGGTAGGCCGGGAAGGGTGGAAGGATGGAGTAGGAAGCGCCCGAGGTGACTGGAGGGGAGGGGGCGCAAGTGAGGGGATGTCTCCTTTTTCTTACTAAAATCTGAGGGTTTGAAGAGTCTCGGAACAGAGAGATCCAAAGACCAGCGAGGAGTGGGGGGGCGACAGGAGATGTTGAGGAAGGAAACCCTGAGAAGGCTCGAAAAGGAAAAGAGCTTTTTCTTTTCCAGATAAATTCAGATGTCTCTGCGTTTGGCTTGGGGGGGAGGGGCTGCTGAAGTTCCTTTCTTAGGCATTTTAGGATAGATATGTCATACCCGTTTTAGGTTTAAAATGCTCCTCTGACAATGGCGAAATGGTCAATCACATTTGGACAAATTTTCCGGCCTAAATAATTTTTTTTCTTTGCAGTATACTGGTAATTGCTACCCTTATCTGCACCAGTCTTAATAAACAGAGTATTAAGCCGAAGATTGTGATAGACAATTTGGTAATGGTATAATGGCGAGGTCAGAGGCATTGAGACCCAGAAATTCCATTTTGATGTCAAATACCTTTCCTCTCATGCCTTTAGCTTATAAGTTTAGATACTTAACTGTCCCTTATAACCTGTTAAATACTGGTTGCAGTGCCAGATTCTGGGAATTGAAAGATTAATAAATATGCTTATGTTATATTTGTCTTAACTTTAGCATAGTGTCATGGAAACTTGTACACTTAAAACTAGGTCCTCCTATAATGAAATGCTTGGGAATATTAATGGGGAAATTAGTGGGAAGAGAACATGAGGAAGTCATCTTTGAGATAGGTTAAAGCTGGTCTCATTTAACTTATTAATACACTGTCAGCTTCAGGATTACAATTTTTAGTGCAGTTTGGTGTCTTTCATGGGTCCTTTGTGAACCATAAAAGGTTCCCTGAATTGTGTTAATGAGAGACTACTAAGAGCCACCCTTTGATTGGAAAATGAGGTAAGGACCAGAATAGTAAGAGCATTTAAATAAATTTTAACCCTGTGAGGAAGATCAGTAATCAATATAAAATTGGGGGAATTACTGGTTCTACTAAATCTACTGAGATTTAGTCATGCCCACTGCCCTCCCTGCTCTGGAATTTAGATCTTACATTGTTAATACACTCTTCCTGCATTTATTAGAAATTTGTCTAGGTTTTTAGTGATCTAGACTTTAAAATAGATCTAAAAGAGCTGTTACATTGTTTTTCTCCTGATACTAACTAGATTGCTGGGATGTCACATGCCTGCTTTGATAGACTCAGAAATAAAACAACTTTTAGCTGTATTGAAAAATCTAGTTGACATTAGAAATTTAATAGAAGGCTTTTGATGAAATCAATTTAAAGTAAATGAGTGCTGATAGATATCCAATCCTATAAGTATTGCCTTTAAAGGTGAATATAGTTATATTTCAAGATTGGAACCTGGCACTTTGCCTATACTGTCATAAAAATGATTGTGTTGTTACGTTATGGTTTATACAGTAATTTGGCCCTTAGCAGTGGTTTTCATAAGCCAATTTCCTTTGTATATGTTTATTATTTTTACTACTAATTGGATTTTTTAATCTCATCTATATTTTCAAAATACACCTGGAAATTCTAGAAAATCAGCTAACAGTAATGTATTACTGTCCACTGCATGTTTTTTTGATTCAATGACTTCACATATAATTGAAGGCAACGAAACACTTTTAAAAAGATACTGGAAGTCGATATCACAGAATACAATGCTAGGGAAAGGATGGGTAAGAAAGGGATGAGGTAAGCTCAGGTAGTCAGTGGGATATGTATATGAGGAGCAAACTTGATTGCAGTTTATGGTAAGGGTTTATTGGGGTGTCATTTGGTTTGCTTAAAAGCTGTTTTATCAGAGTGGGAGGTAAAGAATCACAAGTAGTTGTCAGGCAGTGTGTTTCAGAACGTAGCATTTATGAAATGTGCTTGCTGTTCTTGGAAAGGAAGAACAAAAAAAAGCTTTAGAAACAATTGAGATTATAGAAGGAAGATAGGATAAGTTAGGTAAAAACCTTGTCAGGATGTTTGCTGCTGTGTGCTTGTGGATAGATGTGTGCTGGGCTTATTGTATAAGCTTTAACCCTGTGGCTTGAAGAACACTAGCTAATTTGGTCCCATGCAGTATGCTGTGAAATAGGCAAAGTTGTGGCCAGTGCCTGGGATCAGCTCACTTGGCGCCTTGGTGTCCTTTATTATCTGTCTCTTGGTTCGCTTTTTTGAACTGCTCTGAGAAGCTCTAGAGGGAATGGAAGTGGAAGTTAAAGAACATTGCAGGTTGAGTACCCCTAAGGCTGAGGGCCAGTGTGTTTCGAGTTTCAGAATTTGTTGATTTGGGAATATTTCCATATTCATAAGCTATCTTAAGGATAAAGTCTTGAGTATAGATAGTTGATTCACCTGTTTCATGCACACATACAGTAGTTTGAGTGCACCTACCCTGACTGTGAGTTTACCTTGTGAGGCCAGATGAATACTTTGTCCCATGTTGGCATTCAGAAGAATGTTAGAGTCAGAGATTTTTAGATTAGATTCTTAACATGTATGCTCTTAGTGTATTATTGAGACTGGTTTTTGTTGGTGGTGATTTGGTTTTTGGTTGTCGGAATTAAACCCAGGATTCAAACCTTCTAAGCAAGTGCTCTGCCACTGAGCTGTGTCCCCAGCCCTTGGGGTTTTGACTAAAGGCTACTATGTAGCTGAGGCTGGTATGAAGTTTTCTGTGTAGCACCAAGATAATTAGACTTAAGACAGTACTGCCTTCATCTCTCATGATTATAGGCATCCACCACCATAAAATAGACTTCTGAAAAGTCTTGGTAAATAAGGAATTAAAACTAAATTAAATGTCAGTATTGGCTCACAGAGCAAGTGGTTTAGTGAGAATAAGAATTGGGGGAATATTGGTACTTTATTATCATATTGAGTTAGAAATATTTAGGACTAATTGACCTGTAAAAAGACCTGTGCATCACATAGAAAGGAATAGAGATTTGTTAGGCAGCCAGAATTATGAAAACATATTATGCCCTCCACCAAATATAATTTAGAACATGTGGGTCTGGTATGGTGCAAAAGCTCTAATTCTCATATGCTGAGGAGGAGTTTTCGTTGTTTTAAAATGTCTATATTTTTATTTCAAATAAAATTTTATTTAGAATTTCAAAAATTCTCTATGTGTGTAATTTTCAGAGAAATACAAGGGGAATATTAATGACTACTAGGAACTTTAATATAAATTTAACAATAACAAATCCAAACTTTTCCTCTGGTAGGTTTCTGATTTTATCAGTATATAAACCTAGAGAGTTAGTATCTTGTGGATACAGCTGACTGCTCTTTTTCACCATATATGAACAAGAACATACAGTTAAAGATTGCTTAGTTACTTCTAATAAGTTTCAGCTTTATCATTACCCATACTTGCATTTTCATAGTCAAAATGTAATACTTAGATTCTTTGAAAACTGAGTACTTACCATTTTGTGTTGGAGGTTTTCACCTTTGCTCCATAATTGTAAAACATTTTCATTTTCGTATTATAGATTTAGTTAGAATGATCAATCCAATGAATGTCTTCATTTCTATATCATCTTTTTCTTTTAGTCACCTTTGTATGCACACCTGCCTTCAGCCTTTGCCCATTACAAATCAAGTAAATGTTGCACACATACAGTAAAAGATGAAGTAAAAGTCAAGCATCCTTTTAGAAAAATGAGATGGCCCCAGCTCTTCTTGCAAAATGAAACTCTTACTGCAAAACGGAGCCCTTCCTGTTGAGTGGCTTTCAGGATGAGGGTACCATATTCTTTTATTCTTGTTTTTGTCTCACATTGATTCATTGGTTGGAAAAGTACTTTATAATACAAAGAATCAGTCTGAGTTATTTGCATGTAACTTCACAATTTTTAGCCCATAATTCTATACTACATGCTATTTTGCATTGTTTTTATTGTTTATTAATTTTTTTGTATGGGGGTGCATTTTGCTGCATATGTGTCTGCACCACATGTGTGCCTGGTGCCCATCCAGGCCAGAAGAGGGCATGTGGATTTACTGAAACAGGAGTTAACAGACAGTTGTGAACTGCCACATGAGTGCTGGGAATTAAACTTAAGTTCCCATAAGAGTATCCATGGGTCTTAACCACTGAGTCAGCTCTGCAGCCCTCTTCTCTTAAAATCTTGATTCTGAAATGCCTTCAGTCAGTCTTTTTTTGGGGGAGGGGGAATGGAAAATTAATTCTGCACAACAGAGCCATGATAACTTGACATTTTGACACAATATAGTGCAAAAAGTTCTTCACGGTTTCCTTTTAGTCATATTTAGTATAGCTTAAGTGATTGGTAGAGTATAGTGAAATCTTACATTTGTTTTAAAACAGAGAAAAATATAGTTAATAGGAGTCTATAGTACTTAAATTGACAAAACAATCCAGTGAACCCATTGTTGTTTGAAAGATGCAATGTTTTGGGGGGTTTTTTGTTTTGTTTTGTTTTTTGTCTTTTTGTCTGCTTTTTATTTTTCGAGAAGGGTTTGTCTGTGTAGCCCTGGCTGTCCTGGAGCTCACTCTATAGACCAGACTGGCCTCGAACTCAGATAACTGCCTGCTTTTGTCTCCCAAGTGCTGGGAGTATTTTAGTCTTTTTAAAAGTTAATTTTCTTCTTGTTCTTTGGAGGGTCTGTAAGAAAGAATAAAAATTATAACATTTTGGTTCTATTAAATAATTGGAATTTCTTCTCCCTCCCCCCAGAAAAAAAAACTGAAAGACTTTGATGACATGATGTCTCTTAGAATATCAGCAAAGTAGTTTTTTTTTTATTATATTCTATTTGTGTGCATGTACATGCACACTCAACATCATTCCATGCCATACATGTGAAGGTCAAAAGACAACTTGTGGGAGGCAGTTTCCTCCCTCCACCTTGTGAATCCCATTGAACAAGCCTGGGTTGTCAGGCGTGGCCGCAAACACCTTTTCCCATTGGGACATCTCACTGGCCCAAACCCAGAATTTTTAAAACTCTGGTTCCCAATCCTGGCAGCCTTCTGGTACTAGGTGTTCTCGTCCCCTTCAGGGCTTGATCTAGGGCAGTGGGTATCAAAGGGCATCACAGTGGGTGTTACAGATTTGCATCCTGGAGCCCAGGACCCAAAGACTTTGAAACAGGAGTGTGTGCACAGTAATATATGAGCATGCCATGTAATTCTGGCCTCTGCAGGCTTTAAAGACAGAGCTGTGGCAGTAACAAAAGTAAAGGGCTCTGCCATGGGGGGAGAGAAGGGAGCCTAGCTGAGTTCCATGTGACATATTGGTTAACTTCCTGAGAACCACGAGTCCCAGTTAGTTAAAACTGACAGAAGAAAAGTTGGAGTCACAGACGGACTTTAAATATTTTAATATTTGTAAATGCAAAAACAAAATACAAGATAATCTCTTGCAGCTTGGATCTAGCAATTGGGAAGCAGCGGACTTAGGCAATGAAGAGAGAAAACAAAAGTTCTTGAGACTTATGGGTGCAGGAAAGGTAAGCACTATATGTTTATGTTTTTATCTTTTTAAAAACAATACTGTGTTGTTCGGGTTAAGTGAGGAGGATGGGGCACTTCAGGTTACATTTTCTTCTTGGTTTATTTTTGGCTTTGGGAAATAAACCTAAACTAACCAAACACTTTGAGTTTATACTATTTCTGAACCAGTTCTGGACTTTTCTGCACCTTTGACTGTGTGATTAGAGAATGTGTGGAGAAAATTGGATTTGTGTAGACTCAACTTTTGCCTGACACCTGATGGTTTGTTTTGTTTGTTTGTTTGTTTGTTTTGGTTTTTCAAGATAGGGTTTGTGTATGTAATAGCCCTGATTGTCCTGGAACTCACATTGTAGACTAGGCTGGTCTCGAACTCAACCTGCCTCTGCCTCCTGAAGGCTGGTATTAAAGACATGTGTCACCACCACCCAGACATAGAAGACATTTCTAAACATGTTATATTGTAGAAACCTCTGCCTATAAAGTAACAGCCAACGGAATATCCCTTATCAGAGGCCTAATTTTGGAAATGTTCTATGTATTTGGTAGTACATCCCAGATTTATTAAAGGTGTGTTCACAGGTGCTAAGAAAGGACTCTCTGAAAAACCTTTCTTTTCCTAGCAGTCTTGTTTTACAAACTACATTTGAAAGCATTAGGAGAGCATTTTCTTCTTTTCAGCCCTCAAGGTAAAACCCCACCCTTTGTTTTTGTTGCACAAGGAAGCCCTAGTGCCTTTCACTGCCTAGGGCAGTTACTGGTTGCCTCTTACATGCTAGCACCACTCTGGGTTCTGGGTGTCACAGATGGCTGTGTGCTGAGAGCTATTGTGTATTTGAAGAAACTGAGACCAATACAGAATCATGACTGTGAGGGAGCTTGTAGTGGTGGCCAGTTTTCTCTGACGTTGCTGTGCAGTAAAGCTTCCCAGAAATTACAAAATTTGCAGACTGTGTTCCCCAGATCCCAGCAGAGGCTTCCGAGTGGAGAGGGATTGAGGAAGTCAGACCCTCACAGAGCCTCCAGGGCACATTTGTGTGGTGAACCCATAATTCTTGGTATGATTTTCATAGTACGCATTCTCTCTTGACTTCTATAAATAAAATTTGTTGAAAGGTATATATTTGGGGTACACGTTCAACTACTAGAATGAAAACTTTGAAAATACTAAAAAAAAATCCTGACTGAATCTATAAGATTTCGTGACCAGTAGATGGGTTCTCCACCATCATGTAAACCTTTACCGACAGGGCTGGAAATGACGCTCACACATAGTGTGTCTTAGGTGGAGACACAGGCAGGCACACAGGCATCTGCACATGTGCTTTCAGCAGTGCTCTGGAACCTCATGCACTCTTCCCCGTCATGTTTCCTTTCTTTGCTTTCAGAAATGAAGTAGGAACTATAAAGAGTGGACTGAACTAACAAAATGAAAGTAGTTATGTAGTTATTTTAAACCAAATTATCTCTATGTTTTGTATTGTTTTAAGGTCTGTTTTTGACAGGTTGAAGTTGAGAGTTTATTGTTATTTGATAAACTAACTAGTTAATTGTAATATATTGTAAAGAATAATGGGCATTTTCATTTTCCATTACTTGGTACATTTTAAGTCTTATTATTTTACTTTGAATGTATATAAATAATTTGCTTTCTTTGTAAGATATTCTCGAGACCTCACAAATAGATGATAGAAAGTTTTTAATGAAAATCAGTAGGCCTATACATGATGATTAAGGCACACACTTTTAATCCAAGCATTCGGGAGACAGACAGAGTTCTGAGCTACAGGCCAGCCTGGTGTACAGAACAGAGCATGTACACAGAGGTGGGGGTGGCAGGACGCTCAGCAAAGAGTATGCTTGGGCTGGCTAATTTTCTTGTTGTCTATCTCATTTAAAATTCTAGTCTGGGCTGGGCATGTGGTGGTACTTGCCTTTAACCCTAGCACTTGGGAGCAGAAACAAGCAGATCTCTCTCTGGTCTACATAGTGAGACCTTGTCTCAAAAAATCTCAAAAAAAAAAAAAATCCAGCCTGCTCTAGCCTTTGAGTTTTCTGTCCCCTTAGTCTCTGTTTTATTTTGGTGATATTACCTTCTAGCAACAAATGATTTGCTTACTATGTTTGTGTACCTCTTTCTAATTCTTCCCCTGGCTAGGATGTGATTCCATAAAGATGGGGATCTTGATTTATGTCTTGATCTTCATAATATTCCAGAAGCCTGAGATAGTTTCTACTACATAGTAGTGGACATCCAATAATTACATTGAATGAGCAATTTCAATTTTAATACTTTTTTACCTTCTTACAGAAAGAACACACTGGTCGTCTTGTTATAGGAGATCACAAATCAACATCTCACTTCCGAACAGGTAAGAAAGTAAAACATTAAAATAGAGGAGCTAAGTCTGTATTGTTTTATGCTTTTCTATGCATAGTTCTGTTAATTAAGACATTCTAAAGGAGACTGGAAATAACATCCTTTTGGTATAAACAGTTGCCAGGCATGTACAAGGCCCTTTCTTCCCAACACTAGAAATGGGAAAAAAATGGGCGGAAATTTTTTTTAAATAAAAACTACAAATAAATTTGATTTTAAACATTAGTCTTGGTTGCTATTAATTAGCAGCATAATCTAAGTTAAATCTAACAATTTTAACTGAATCGTTTAACTTTACACCGATCTATCTTATGTATTATATTTCAGAAATCAATTGACCTCTCATTTTTCTGACACTAGTTATTTCAGAATAATTTGCATTGTTCTATAAGGCAGAATATTAGCTTTGCAAAGTGGAAAATAATTTTAGCATTTAACACTTCCTCTTTTAAAATTGAGAATTGTAGCAAAATCAAATGACATATATGCATGAAGGTGCCCTAACAAAACTCAACACATGGTATGCTTGCTGAATAATAAATACCAAAAACATTGAGAGAGCTATATAGAAAAAATGACCCAAAGCACAAATATTTGTGATTGGAACCTAAAATTGCTTTCATGTTAATACACTAAAGCACCGTACCCAAAGTCTTGAGTGCACACTGTTGGGGACCATGAGTTTTAAGCAGGGTTCACTAGGCTGTTAGTGTTCTGTGTCATAGTATGAAGTAGGTACAAACACAGAAGTGTTGCATTAATAGATAACTTGGGTTTTTTAGTTTGTTCCTGTTAGCTAATAAACAAAGACAAGCATAAAGAACCATTCCCAGGCCACTTTGAGATGACCTTGAATTCTCTGAGTAGAATACTCAAACATTTTCTTCTCTCTGTTCAAAAACAGATGCTCTGATTTGTCATAGGTTTTTAGGTGACTTGGAGAGAACCTTCAGAGTTAAGGCTGTTAGAGACTTAATTTAGAAGGTTGGCTCCTAAAAGTCACCATAAATATGTCTGTCAACTACTGCGTTTATTAGGTGGCCACAGAGCACTGAAGTTAGTCACAGTTAGAGAACTCAGGCCTGAATAGAATAGCATCTGTGTTGTGGGTCTTTTTGTGTAATCAGATGTTTTTGTTAATTTGACTGAAACATAACCAAAGTACAATGGACACGCAGGGGAAGAAGACAAGAAAATTAATGAAGAACTGGAGTCTCAGTACCAGCAGAGCATGGACAGTAAACTCTCAGGCCGGTACCGGCGGCACTGTGGACTTGGCTTCAGCGAGGTAGTAACTGTGTTTCCATTGACCGGGGCATAATCAGTTTCACTTTGATATTTGGGTTGCCAGAACAGCCAAGAGTGCTATTAGAGGAAGAAAACAAGAATAGACAAATAGACAAGGAAGCTCCTGTCAGTTACCTACAGTATTCTTATAGCACATCTGTCACTGCATAATCAGAGTGATGTTCTTAAGGATTTAAATGAGTGTTCTAATGTTGGCTTATTGGAAATTCTGCTTAACCTCTACGCATGCCTTTAATGGGTATGAATAAATGCTTCTAAGATAAAATAAAATATTTCATGTAAGTTAAAAATCCTGGCTTAGATTTCTTAGCTGTTTCCTGAGTGGTCTCTGTAATTCATGTGATGTGTAATGACTAGTGCAGTGTTCATTTACTAGTAGAAGCTGTATCGGGAAGAGAAAATACCGTCCTTTTTGAGCTAGGGTAAGTAGACAGGTGCCCCTGAGAAGCTTTTCTTAAAGTCCAAGGTGGCTGTCCCCAGTCTCTCCTTGGCAGCCAGGGATTTTAATTTGTAAAATAGTCACCTAATACTATCAAGTGGGCTGGTCTTATGTTTTGCTTAATTTGTTTGTTTGAGATGGAATCTCACTATGTAGCCCCTGCTGGACTTGAACTCAGAGACCCATCTGCCTCTGCCTCCCAAGTGCTGGGATTAAAGGGGTGCGCCACTATGCCCAGCTAAGTGGGCCGTTTTTAAGACAGATGAAAATAGGATTGGTCCCAGTTCCCAAGGTTCTACAGTAGCCAGTGGTGCTTATTTTTCCTTAACAGGCCTTTGTTTGGTGTTGTAGGTAGAAGATCACGATGGGGAAGGTGATGTGGCTGGGGATGACGATGACGACTCCCCTGACGCTGAGAGTCCAGATGACTCGGACAGTGATTCTGAGTCTGAAAAGGAGGAGTCTGCAGAAGAACTCCACGCTGCTGAGCATCCTGATGATGCAGAAGACCCGAAGAGCAAAAAAGATGCAAAGAGCAATTATAAGATGATGTTTGTCAAGTCCAGTGGCTCATAACTATTAAACACTTAGTCTTTGTATTAAAAGTAAGCCTTATTGTTATAATGCACAGTGGAGGACTGCTTATAGAGCACAGACCTTTGTATTATAATTTTTAAAAAGGCCCTTTTAAATAACTACAAAGAGTGTTTGCTTTCAAATGCCATGGGTTACACTTTTCCAGGCATGACTATAACCATTTTTGTAAAGAGTCAGAGTTGTATAAAATGAGAAATAAATACTGTACTCAGCTTCCTTCCGTATTAGCATCGTCAGCCCTCTCACCACCTTCTCACCCCTGCAGATGCGTTATGGGGGACACTTAACTTTGTTGTTTGTGATAGCTCTTTCATCTTTGTGTTTGAGGTTTGTTCCTGTTTTTCTCTTATGTAATTCATGTGATACTGTGACGTGTTCCTGAGAAGTGTTCCCTTGATTTCACTTTGTTAAAGTAGACCTGTCCATCATGGGTATTCCTGCCGCCGGCCCCACTGCCATGCTGCAGACCATTGTTGACAGGCCTTGCTTGTTAAGTCTCCGCTCTCAGACCAGAGCAGCACAGGAGCAAGCACAGGACACTGGTGGGTGGAGGCGCAGCCGTCACATCATTCAGAAGGTGACGAACCCAGAATGTCTTTATATGATCTGATTTCAGTGTATGGTAAAGTTTTGATAAAATCTGGCCAGTTTTTACAGAAGAAATTATTTCTCTGCTCCTTCAGTCCTGTGTATTTAGAAATATGTAAAACTGGATTTTTTTTTTAAGGTACTATGTGACCAAAGTTCATTTTTTTTTTTTCTCCTAAGGTCTAAATAAAGAGAAAGCAGTTTCCCATATTTGGTTGTGATGCCTTTATCCTCATTGTCTGTAAATGGGGAACAGGCTTACTGAGTAAGAACTGGAAGCATGTTTATCTACACTCTTTTCTAGACTGGTGGCTGAAAGGAAGCATTCCCAGGTATTTGTGCTGCTGCTCCATAAGACTGGATTCATCTGCCTGTTCTCTACTTGATCTGTACAGTGGAACACAGGTGCATTATGGGTTAGTGAGTGGAGCTTTAAATAGCTGTCAAAATTTTAACAGGCTTACAGATGAGAATCCAGTCTGTATGAGAACTGATCTGTCAGCATGTCTGGACTACGGTGCATTCCTGGTAGGCGAGACTTTGCAAAGCTGTCCTTTTGAAAGTTCAGATATGGGAGATGGAGGACAGAGCAGGTGATTTCTGATTTATAGACTATATTTTGTATTTTTACCCAAAGGATCTTCTTGTTTTTTTAATTCCTCACGGTATACAAGTAGGCACTGCCCGTTAATTAAAATTACTCGTGGATGATTGACAATGTGTGTAAAACACTTTGAAGAAGTTTGGTTTTAGTTTGAACACTGAATTTCAATCCCAGGAAATTCCGGGATTACACATTACAGTTAATTTAAGTAGAGACTGAAAACTGATTCATGTCAGAATAGATGAGGGCCTAGAGAGAAAGCTCAGTGGTTAAGAGCACTGTCCGTACTTTAAGGAAATTCTGTTCCAGCTCCTACATGGTAGCTCACAACTGTAATTCTAGTTCCAGGGGATCCAATACCCCCTTCTCACTTCTGCAAGGACCAGGCCTGTAAGTTATACACAAACATGCAGGCGAAACACCCATACACAGAAAATTTTAAAACTAAAGATGTGAGGGTGCTGTCCTGTCATCCTCATGCCAGGGAGGCTAAGACTAGAATTGACTTGAGTTCATGGAAGTGGCTGGGCTGCAGTGAGGGACTGCCTCAAAATAATAGGGGAGGCTGGAACACTCAGCTGCCGGGACAGTACTATGCTAGCGTAGATCAGAGGGTTTCTAAAGCATTCCCATCAATTCATTATTAAATATGCAGGGCTATCTAAAACGTTTTCAGTTTCTATTAAGCCATGTGTAACAACTGACACTTAACAAAATTCAGAGCTTTAATAGGTTTTTGGGGTATTGGTCCATGAAGCCCTGCAGCCTGTAGTCCCTAAACCACAGTAAACACCTTATCTAGCGTATGTAAGTGAATATCAAGGAACTTTAGCAAAAATGGAAGAAAAACAAAAGACTTGGTGTGCCATGTTATACCTACTTTTTAAAATATTTAAGAAAATAGGACCAGTGAGATGGCTCAGTGGCTAACAGCACTGGCTATCAGTCCTGACTTTGACCTGAGTTTGAGCTCCAGTACTCATGTGGTGGAAGTCAAGAAACAACCTCTTCCAACTGTCCTCTGTATCTGCACATGAGCTGTGGCACCTGAATGCACACTAAGTAAATGGAATAGAAAAGTCAGAGAATACAAATTACTTTTGTGCGGTTAATGGAAAGGTTATGATTTTCCATACTGGTAACTTTATCCAAAAATGTTCTTGTCCCAACACTGCACCCAGAGGTTCACCCTTACCAAGGTTCCAGCTGCCCTTAATATTTAAAATTCATGTCACTTGTAGTAAGTAAAAGCCTTCCAGTATTTAACATCTGGGAGAACTAAAGGTGCAGAAATGTCAGACATGAAACTCACTTGAAAAGGTTGGATCACCCTTCAAATTGTGGGGAAATAAATTAGAGCTGCCAGTGAGCACACAGGAATGTATCTTGCTGCTCTGTCACCACTACAGCCACACCCCCAGGGCTTTAAGCCCTATCCACTGAAACCAGTAGCTTGCCTCGCTTCTGAGTGGTGCAAGTCCCAGTTGCTGTATGGGTTCCGTGTCATGACACCGGTCTTTGAGGAGCAGGCTCCGTCATGTTGTCCTGCCAAGTATCTACCACGTCTGCATATTCTCATGACCTAGAGGTTATTCTGGAAAAGATCAACAATCCAGTGAAAACTGGACCTCTCTGTGCCTCTGACCCGTACTTTGTCTAGTTAACTCTCCTTTTGTTCATTTGTGGAGTTTTGTTTCTTCTTTGTTGGTTATCTTTATGTATCTCTGACTGTTGTGGAACTCAGAGATCCACCTGCCTTCTGAATGTTGATTAAAGGTGTGTGACACCACCTGACTGCGTGTGTGTGTGTGTGTGTGTGTGTGTGTGTGTGTGTGTGTGTGTGTGTGTGAAGGATGTATTTTTGTAGTTGAAATTTTCTTTGGGCTGCCAACCAGCTCCCAAAGAAAGACATGGAGACTTATCAATTACGAATGCTCAGCCTTATCATAGGCTATCCCATTAGTTCTTTTGCCTCGGGGCTTTTTACCTTTCATTCTGTATGTCTTACTTTCCTGCTATCTCTGTGTCTGCCTGGCTGGCCCTGGCATCTCTCTGCTGTCTCCTTTTCTTTCCTTTAGAGCCTAAACTCCTATTTATCTCCTTGGCAGAAAGTTCATCTGCACCTCCTACCCCAGTGCTGGCTGTTGAGTTTTTAATTAAACCAATCAGGTTCTTTGACCAGGCAAGGTAAAACAGCAACACATCTTTACGTAATTGAGCAAATGCAACATATCTTTCATAGTTAAACAAATGTTCTGCAACCTTCCCCCTTTTTGTCTAAATGAAGAGAAAGGTTTTAGTTTTAACATAGTAAGACTATATATAAAAAGAACAATTATCAAGAATTATATTTACAATATCCAGTCTATTTGCATTTGGCAAATTCAGAGAAAATACTCCATTATTTATTCTTTCTTGGTAAGTCCAAAGTTGTGCACCTAATTTACTTTCTACTCTAACTTGTATTACCAACACAAAATTATCTTTTTAGAACTCAAAACACTTTCTTAGATAAACAATTTAAGCCCTGTTTCTTAACCTTATAAACTTTATATCTCTCATGTAAGTTTCTTTTCTGAATGTGGTAACAAGGAAAACTATAATAACTGTCTTGTCTTCAGTCCCATCAGAGACCCAAGAAGGATATAATATTACCTGAGTAAACAGGAAGTACAGAGCAGGCAACTTCCAAGCTATAGAAATGACAGAAGAAACTGGCTACCTGAACAATCACCCAAGATTCCTCTGCACCATTGGGGCATCTGTCTTTGGCATACAGACATAGAATATCTGATAGACTTTTCTGTGAAGCTGGAAATTTGAAGAACTGCCCTACCTTGTCTTGGCAAAGTTCAGCAGTCTTTTTCCTTTGTGTCTTTCTTGTCTAGTTTGTACAGTATACTGTCAGCAGTCAAGGCAAGGGTAGTTTCTTGCCAAATGACTAGCATGACACAATCAAAATGAACTCCATATGGAAGTTTTTTGACACCCATCATACTTTTATGAAGTAAATTGGTCCTGCTAGGAGCAGACATGTCTCACTGTCATAAAAAGACTTAGGTTATTAAACATCTTAAATGCCATATTCTATGGGTCTCTGAGGCATTTGAAGATCACCTACTAAAATATATCTGTTTAACCTTGAAAACATACCTAATATGACTACAAGTTTGATATTTTGATTATGGAAGTCTAACTGCTAACTCTATTTTTTAGTTATCCTAAATAGTTTGTAATAATAGCTTTCAAGGACTAGAACTTTATATTACAATTTTAAATAAGCCCCATAGGTACAATACCTTAAACAAGGGTAGAAACATACATATGGTATAACAAAAATAACCTTAAATTTGTATCAATATACAAAAATCCATACCAATGTAAAATATTTGAGATTAATAGTTATCTTTTTGTCCCATATTTGTATATCCCCAATAAATGATGACAAACATCCATAACCCACCAAATGACCAAAAACCACCTCCCACACCTCTTGGGAATGTGGGCATTGTGTTCTCTAGACTACTTCTTGTTTTCTGGTAGTACAGCATCCACAGGAGACCCTGAGAAAATGGAGACAATGGTCAACTCCTATAAAAACTGGCTGTAACCTTTGTTGTCTAGTCTCTGTTTAATAAGAAAGTACAAAGCTTATCTGAAGTTCCAGCTAGAATAGTCTGTGAGACTGGATCATCTCAACTAGCAGCTTTGAAGTTGTTTTTGGATGCAAAACTCAGAGGAAACTGGAAAGAGGCACTCTGAAAGGCCTGGCCACCCATTTTCATTGGTGTGTGGTCCACTTGCTGTGAAAAAAACACAAACTTTTAAAGGTAACATACATATCTGCATTAACACAAGTATGGACTGTGCATTGTACACAAGCCAGCCAAAGATGCTATTTTTGTTTGTTTTAAGTTTGGGCAGGTAAAAGACATCTGTCAACTTTCTAAGTCATGGGGACTCTGACCAACAAGATCTATCATGTCTTATTCAGTCTCAGAGATGTTCCCATGCCAAGAGATCA